TATATATATATATATATCTTGTTTACCAATACAAATATCTAAACCATCTAAAGGAAAATATAATATCTTAATGTTATAACAAAACAAGATTTACTTGAGAATCAAAATGACTTGATATAAGTCTTCTTTTCTGAAAAATGTATGAAAATTAGGCGAGTCTGATTGAAACAAGAAAAAAAATGTCTATGGGGTAAGAACAAACTTAATTCAAAGGAAAAACAAGATTATTTTTCTTACCCAACTTTCTTAATTTTCATTTTTATTTTATTTTATAAAACAAGACTGTCATTTTGCTTCTCAAGTAAATATCTCGATTTAAGAATGTTTAGATATTTGTACTGGAAAACAATGCAAAAATACTGAGCAAGAAAATAATTTTTTGCAGTGCATCACTGGTGGAAGTAGCACCAAGATGGTTTCCTCTTACTGCCAAGAGAGAATTCTCTAATAGAAATCCCAATAAACACACAAACGCCATCTGAGCCATCAGAGCGATGGGCCATAACTCATCAGATGTAGCGTCAGTTGATGCCAGTGCTAAACCTCTGTGGAAATTTCAATTTCGATGCAGCACTAGGACTTGAGACCTTCCGAGCAACATAACATTTTCCATCATTCTGCAGCCTATGCGGGTTTAAAAAGCCACCTTTTCTCTCCTGATGCCTGGGTCATTTTCACACCCACCCATCGTGAGCAGAGGAACAGAGAACGACCTCCACGAGCAAACCTCGAGATGATCAGAGAATCACACTGTTATTGACATTTACGAGGTCTATTCTAATGCGTTTGCACTGATGTGGCAGCGATATCCTGCTCCGTCCTGCACCCCCAACCTTCAGAGATGCAGATGGGGAGGGGAGGTGTTGACAGCATGCACAAGGCAAACATCTGTAGAGCTTGAGCACTTGCCATCTTGGCCTTCTCACGTCCAGCCTACATGCACCATCCACTCCCCACCCACAGAAGAATCCAGCTCCTCTTACGCAAGCAAGAATCCGAAAACATGAGTTAAAATGGCAAAATACAATCTCAGATACATCTATAACCTTAACACACAAGCTTCCTCCCCAAAAACACACAGTCAGACTAGCATTGTATGGTTGTCCATCTAAAAACTGACATATAATAACAGCATACCTTTTTCTTTACAGGCACAGTACACAGATTCTTCAGGCTGAGCCTTTGAAATGTTTTTTCAGATATAAAGGCAGTGAGGGATGAGACAAAGATGGGTGCAGAATTTTCCAGAAGGGCCCTGCTCTCCCTGCTGCTCTCAGAGCGATTGTCAATCTTTAACCTCAGCTGTGTGCTGCCGATTGGTTTGAGAGCCACACGGAGGCGCCTGATTGGGCAGCTGGTGCTGTGTGTGCCACACAGGCTCTCCCTGCTCTTCTCTCTCTGCTCCGATACACTGCTGCAATGCAGGGAGGGCTGCTTCTGCTGCTGCCATTCACCGGGAAAATACTCATATTCTACCCTGAAAACTACCGGTGTGAATAAACATGGGACGCAGATGTTTGGACAAACATGTCAGATGGTTTTATTCTCCTCCCCTTCTTGCAGTCA